AATTTTTAAGTTTGATAACTCCCCAAATTCCTTCAATATCTTCATTAAATTTGGGAGTGTTATCCTGGGGTTTCCCACATAAAACAACAGGTCAGGTCATCCGCAAAGGCAGCCACTTTATGTTATATATATCCTATCTGTATTCCCTTTATATCTCTATTCTTCCTTATTGTTGATAACAAAGATTCCAATGACAATACATACAATGGGGACAATGGATAGCCCTGTCTTGTTCCATTTGACATCCCAATAGACTCTGACCTCTCCCCATTAACCATAATAGTGTTCAATAGTGAAATTGGTCTATAACTGGAGCACTGAGAAGCATCTTTTCCTTCCTTATGTATAAGCACCACATGAGCTTGTAGAGATTCTCGCCTCATATCCATCTCTCCTCCCAAAGCGTTCATGTATAACTTCAGTTTGGGTATTAACAATTCACTATATTTTTTATAGTACCTCGCAGTATAACCATCTGGCTCTGGGCTTTTCCCTATCGCTGTACTTTTTAATGCTACTTTTATTTCATCTTGTGTTATTTCTGAATCTAGGGAATTAAGTTGTACTTTGCTTAATTTAGGTAGACCAGCATTTTTTAAATATGCCCTTCTTTTTTTTCAATAATCGCAGTTCCAGTGTTATTTAAAGGGTCATGGGCTATAATATTACATACCTTTCTATAATATTCCTTAAACACCTTAGCAATCTCTTTAGTTGAATGGACCAATTCTCCCTTGGAGTTTATTTTTTCTATATAATTCCTATTTTTCTTTTTCCTCAGGGCTCTCATTAGGTACTTTCCTGGTCTATCTCCCCATTTGTACCTCTCGCTTAACACTTTATTAAAGGCTCTTCTCTTCTTCCATTAATATCTCTAGTTCTTTTTTTTTTATTACCTTCTGTCTTATCGCTTTAGTAATTCTATTCTTATGTATCTGTTGTCTTTCTACTTCTTTAGCTAACTTCAGTGAACTTGCATAGTGATTTTTTTCAACCCTTTTCATCAGAAGATATATCTCTCGAGGTGTTAACTTCCGGGAATGGCCTGGACATCTTTGTGAAATGGTTGCAGTTCCATTAAATTTTTGTATCACTTTTGCTACAGTATTCTGATTGTACCAATAAATAAATAATTTGCGCTAGTAAATGTGTATAAAAAGAAATCATCAAATCATAAGTCCAGAAAAAAATATATATATGCCAATACCACAAAAAAAATAAAAAAAAAACTTTTAAGTGCAAAAAACTTTTGTGCAAATAAAGTGTCTAATAATGAAAAACTTTCACCAAAAAACCTTGATAATATAATGGCAGATCATCCATAAATATATCTTCAGAAACGGAAACTCTGCAACACATCGATCCTCATCGATCGAAATAACAGGATGAAAAACTTTGTAGTTAATCGAAAATCCACTTCTCCAATAAAATAAAGGACCACCTTCAAACGTATCCATGGGGGGGAAATGCCAAGCACTCGAGAGAAACAGAAAGACTTCATGGTGCAATATTATAAAAACCAATTCCTTTATTAGGTACTCATTGCACTTACTCAAGAGGTGTCCCAGCCGACACCAGCATCAACAGCATAACAGCAATCACATAAACGAGCCTGGCTACTCAGCACATGCGCAGTAGCTGGCAGCCAAAAACGTAATGACGTCACATCAATCAAGCTCCGCCCTACGCGTTTCATCATCGACGTCATCCGCTCCGTGAGGATATTGCACCATGAAGTCTTTCTGTTTCTCTCGAGTGCTTGGCATTTCCCCCCATGGATACGTTTGAAGGTGGTCCTTTATCTATTGGAGAAGTGGATTTTCGATTAACTACAAAGTTTTTCATCCTGTTATTTCGATCGATGAGGATCGATGTGTTGCAGAGTTTCCGTTTCTGAAGATATATTTATGGATGATCTGCCATTATATTATCAAGGTTTTTTGGTGAAAATTTTTCATATTTAGACACTTTTTTTGCACAAAAGTTTTTTGCACTTAAAAGTTTTTTTAATTTTTTTTGTGGTATTGGCATATATATATTTTTTTTCTGGACTTATGATTTGATGATTTCTTTTTATACACATTTACTAGCGCAAATTATTTATTTATTGGTACACTTTATATATGGTGATTTTTTTGCAGCTGGTACACTATTAGTAAGTTATATAATTTTGACCATAGGCGCTATTATTAATTTTTCTTAGTATTCTGATTGATAAGTAAAGCTTTGCTGATCTTCTTGTAGCCTTCACCTTTCTTGTGACATTTCTCTTCCATGTGGTGCCATTGCTGACAACATGAAATGGGAAGGGGTTTTCTTTAAGTAACACCCTTTTATAATCAACTGTTTGCTGGACACCTACTTAATTAAGAATTAGATTCACCTGTAGTTGAATCCTTGTTAATTAGGATTTTGATGGCAAAAATTTAGCTTTGCTCCTAAGACTTTCATTGCGGTGTATTCATTTTTGCAACATGATCTTGAATTAATTTGTTAGGAAAAATACTTTTTTTGCATGCAAATTAACAAATCTTGTTTGCAATCAAGGCCCACATTTGTGGGAGTGTTTTGTAAAACAGCATCCCATAGAAAATGTTGATTCTGAAAGGAAAGTAAAGGTTTTCTGACAAGTCTGTTGGGGTGCACTCATGTATGCTGAGCACAGTGTTATATATGTATACACACACACATATATATATATATATACACACACACATGCACAGGGGTTGGACAAAAAAAAAGGAAACACTACATGATTTGCAGGTGTGAAAGTGACAACATATTTCAAGTTGAAAGTAGAAGTGATGTAACATTCTTATGCTTCTGCTGTGTGATGAGACACCTAGCTAACAGGTGGGAAGTCTCCCTTTCATCATTCATTGCATGCGCTGCTAGTAATATGGAGTCGTATCTGAGCTTACTGAGCTTCAAAGAGGGCAAATTGTTGGTGCCCACTTAGCTGGTGCCCCTGTGACTGAAGTTGGCAATTTATTTACGGCATTGCGAGGTACAGAATCATAGGTTATGATGGCATATACAGTTTCTGGGAAATCATCATCTGATAAGCATAAGCACGGTCGACATGGTCAACTGACTGAAAGAGACAAAAGGACATTACGCAGGATTGTGACCTGGAATCAGAAAACAACTGCTGCAAAAAAGTGACTGCAGAGCTCATTCTCTGTCCTGTGAAGACCATTAGAGCACCATCATTTTAATTGTACACACTGAATTAAATCAGGGTCTGTAGTCACAGGGGAAAACATTTTTTGCTGGCCTGAATGAGCATTCATAAGTGTGCTTATGTTCATGCAGGAGCATAATAAAGCACTGTTACTCACTATATTGTGACCATAGGTGTGACACACAACAAATTAATACTAGAAAAAGGGACATTACGGAGCTGGTGAAGAAAATTCTGTTGCATTCGATGCAATTGGAAATTCAGCCGATAAATTACAGAAAGCATATTAAACTCTGCCAGATTACACAGAGTGCATTACGTAAGAGAGTAGAGTTGAACACTGAACAGTTTTCAAACAGAAAATCTATAGATATCTACAGATATATAAATTTAAGCCATTTGGGGGCTAATTATCAATGTTTTCATCAAAGGTTCACACAACTTTCATCCAAGATACACATATTTTTCAAATTTGTTAATTTTTCTTGGGTGTAAAATTGATCAGTTGACCCCCCTTAGTGTCTTTTTCATATAAAATTAATATTTTATGTACACACACATTTTTTATACAAGCCCAAATAATGCAAAAGTTTTAGCCACTTTACCAAATAACTACAGACCTGTTAGTTTAACCTCTTCACGCCGGCCGAACGCAAATGTGCGGCCTAACAGCGTCTGGACCTAGATGCAGAGCGGCTGCACATTTGCGTTCTATTAAAAAAGAACATATGTGCTGAGAGCGAGCGCCCTGTGCGCTCCCAGTACACGTCCTGTAGTCACGGAAAGGTCCTGATCTCTTTCGATCGGGACCTTTCTCAATCATGTGACCGCCGTGACGGCGTGTTATGCCTCATTATGACCTCATAGAATTATGATTAGGACTCACTATGCCTCATAGAATATACAATGGGGTGTTTGCTTTACAAAATGGAGTCATTTTGTGAGTAATTCCATTGTCCTGGTGCTCCAGGGCCTTCAAAAATGTGATAGGTAGACAGGAAATTAAAAGTGTAATTTATGCCTCCAGAACGCCCTGCTTTCAGGGGTACTAGATGAAGCCAACTCAACACAAGCCTGAATCAATGGTTGCACCTCAGAGAGCTCTAGGTCCTGACCTACTAGGGAATGAGCGACCCGTATGCACTCTAGCAGCTGATCCCTGGTATACTCCCGCAGAGTCTGATAGGCATATTCTCTGTCATCAAAGACTAGCATAGACAAATATATAACCTCATCAGGATGCATCCTTCACAACAAGTCAAGATGGCTTCCCTGTGCAGCCACTTCTGGTCAGGAAAGGCCTTGGTGTGATGTCAGGAATCTAGGAGTGACCAGAAAGGTGTGGACGGACACAGGGAAACGCAGGTTTCAGGTATAGTATAATAATACAGTTTATTATTAGTCACCCAGATAGATATATATATATATATATATATATATATATATATATATATATATATATACACACATACGCACAGTGAACAAACCAACCTTCCACTAATCTTAGTAGGTGCAGGAACACAGGCGTAGTCAGGGCTGGAGAGGTGGAATGGTCAGGCCGGCCGTAGGGTTCTGTAATGACCGTTTGGTGGTACCTCTAGCGGTCCTCAGGACAGGATTCCCCAGGGCGCGGAGTCTAAGTCCCAGTCTGCTATTCACCAGGGCCCCTGATGGTGGGGATGGACTTGGAGCAGACAGGAACCAGGTCGCGGCCCCTGAGTACACCTGCTAGTGGTAGAGGGATCCGCCAGAGGTATGTGCAGGTAGAAAGCCTGATGTGAAGAGGCAGAAGGTGTGAGCAGGGACGGCTGGATCCGTGCAGGATGGATGGATGGCAGAGTAGTTAGCGTGGTCAGACGGGCCAGGTCAGCAACGTGCGGGCAGCAAGGTACCAAAGGAGCAGGCAGAGAATAGTCAAGGTCACAAGCTGGGTTCAGTAACTCACGGGCAGCGCGGTACAGGGGATCAGGCAGAAGGATGGTCAGGCAAGCCAGGGGTTCAACAGGAGACGGTCAGCAGAGGTCAGGATCAAGCCGGGTCAGCAACGAAGTAGGAACACAGGATACCAGGTACAGGGGCTCATGGGAAAACATACACCAAGGCCCAGATCACAGGCCTAGTCATGCCTTAAATACACCTTCTGCAATCAGCCCCAGGTTTGGCTGATTGCAGGTGTGAGCTTCTGGCTGCTGAGAGCACCCGCTGGTCAGCTCTGGTACTGCAGCCCACACGGCAGTACCAGAGCAACTTGCAACTTGTAAAAAAAAATGCTATAGAGTGACGTTGCTTTCAAAATAATGCAATAAACAGATTTACAATTAACAACCTAAAAATTACTGTAATAGGGGGGAATTAGCTCAGTGGTAGATACAATTTCCGTACAGTAAGTGCCTGTCACACAGGCATTGTAGTTAAGGGCCTGGTAACCCACTTTATTAAAAGGTAAAAAAACAAAAGTCCATCCAGGATTCTCATGCAAGGTTTCAACTGCATTCAGCAATCATAAATGAAAAACACCAAGCCACCTGGCTCTCTACTTAGCAGTACCTCTGCTTGTTTTGGTCTTCCAGACCACTTGCTATTCAGGCTCTCTCTCTGACATAGGTGACGGAACCTTGCTGTTCAGGCCCACAAGGCCTCTTGACAGGGTTTTCCCAACATTTCCAGCTGGTACCTACCAGAGACTTCCGGATTCTCTCCAGCCCCCTGGACTCACTGGCTCCAAAGCTTTCCCTGGCCGAGAGCCTTGCACTGTCACATTACATACAGTTAGGTCCATATATATTTGGACAGAGGCACAATTTTCATACTTTTGGCTCTGTATGCCACCAGAATAAATTAAAACGAAACAATCCAAATGATTTTGAAGTGCAGACTTTCAGCTTTAATTCAGGGGTTGAACATAAATATCAAGTAAAAATTTTAGGAACTGCAACCATTTTCAGGGGCTCAAATGTAATTGGACAAATGAATATAATTAGAAATAAAATGTTCATTTTTAATAGATTGTGAAGAATCCTTTACTGGCAATGACTGCCTGAAGTCTGGAACCCATGGACATTACCAAAGACTGGGTTTCCTCCGTTCTGATGCTTTGCCAGGCTCTAACTGCAGCTGTCTTCAATTTGTTTTTCATTTGTGGGTCTTTCTACCTTTAGTTTTGCCTTCAGCAAGTGAAATGCATGCTCAATTGAGTTGAGATCAGGTGACTGACTCGGCCATTGCAGAATATTCCACTTTTCCTTCAAAAGCTCCTGGGTTGCATTTGCAGTTTGCCAGGGGTTCAACAGGAGACGGTCAGCAGAGGTCAGGATCAAGCCGGGTCAGCAACGAAGTAGGAACACAGGATACCAGGTACAGGGGCTCATGGGAAAACATACACCAAGGCCCAGATCACAGGCCTGGTCATGCCTTAAATACACCTTCTGCAATCAGCCCCAGGTTTGGCTGATTGCGGGTGTGAGCTTCTGGCTGCTGAGAGCACCCGCTGGTCAGCTCTGGTACTGCAGCCCACACGGCAGGTGAGTCCCACCACCAGTGCGGAGTCCATTCCTGACAGGGTGTTTGCTTTCCAAAATTGGGTCTTTTTGTGGGTAATTTCATTGTCCTGGTGCTCCAGGGCCTTCAAAAATGTGATAGGTAGTCAGAAATAAAAAGTGTAATTTATGCCTCTACAAAGCCTGATCGTGCTACTTGGATCTTGGGCCTCTGTATGTGTCCAGGCTGTGAAAAAGTCTCACATATCTGGTATCGCCATACTCAAGAGGAGTAGCAGAATGTGTTTTGGGGTGTAATTGCAAGTATTCATATGCTGTGTGTGAGAAATAACTTGTTAATATGACAATTTTGTTTACAAAAAAAAAAAAATAATTTCTTAATTTTCCCAAGAATTGATGGAAAAAAATTACAACGTCAAAAAATTCACTGTGCCTCTTACTAAATAGCTTGGACTGTCTACTTTCCAAAAAGGGTCATTTGGGGGGTATTTGTACTTTCCTGGCATATTAGGGCCTCAAGAAATTAGACAGGCCATCAGTACATCAGGTGTCATCAATTGGTACCATAGCTTTTAGACTCGATAATTTTCACACAGACTTATGCAGGCCATAGACGGTTCGTTTATCGGCCGAATTTTCGTCCGAAAGAATAATTGGCCGATATTCGCAACGTTAGTGGGGCAATGTCATCGGCTGATTTTCGCAGTTCCTCCTCATTTCTTTTATCAGTCATGCTGGAAAATTTACGAAAAACGGCCGATTTTCGTAATCATTGGTGGCAACAGGACGACCAATTTTTTTTCGTTTTTCAGATGAAAATTTGGCCGATAAACGAACAGTCTATGGCCTGCATTAGGCTAGGTTCACATATGTGTGGGTGGTGCCGCTGTGGACCCGCACAAAAATCCGTGCAGCCGCACCACCCGCACAGAAGAATGTGGATCTTCTTCTGTTTTCAGAAGAAGTGCAGGGACTTCTTCCCTGCACGTCCTGGGGCACGGGAGTACAATCAAATGAATAAGCTCTCGTGCCTGCACAAAACGCGGACTGCAGGAACAAACATATGTGAACCAGGGCTAAATAATATACCCTGATTTGGGTTATTTTTACCAAATAAATGTAGCAGTAAAAATTTTGGTCTAAATTTATGAAGAAAATTTACTTATTTGCTAAATTTTTAGAAACTTAAAAAAAAAGTGTTTTTAATTTTTGCAAAAAATAAAAAACCCAGTGGTGATTAGGTACCACCAAAACAAAGCTCTATCTCTGAAAAAAAATTATAATGTTGAGGTACAGTGTAGCATGACTGAGTAATTGTCATTCTAAGTGTGAGAGCACTGAAAGCTCAAAATTGGTCTGGGCAGGAGGGGGGGTAAAAGTGCCCAGCAATTATTTGTGGTTACTGTTCGAATGTTTAAAGTAGAACTATAGGTAAAAAAATGTTTTCATTTGGATAGAGCAAGGGAGGTTTATAAACACTGTCAAATTTGTTTTGCCATCTCTGTCCCATTGGGGAGATATACCTTCACTTCCTGTCCCATAGCCAAACAGGAAGTGAGAGGAAATTCCTGCAAATTAAGGGAATATTTCCCCTCTATTACTTTTCTGGGGACATTCCAAGCTTTGCAGTGGAATAACATCCTTACAGGATGTCTTCAACTCACAAGCAGATCTCAATGCACTGTTTAATTGGACAACTATGCAGCAAATGAGGTTTAATGTTGATAAATGTAAAGTTATGCACTTGTGGGCTAAAAATAAGCATGTATCATACATACTAGGGAGAGTACAACTAGAGGAATCAGTGGTGGAGAAGGATCTGGGTGTTCTAGTGGATCATAAGCTTAAGAATGGCATGCAATGCCAAGTTGCAGTTTCCAAAGCGAGCAAAATCCTGTCTTGTATTGAGAGGTTTTGGGCACCAACTCACAAAAAGGATATTGAGGTACTGAGAAAGTGCAGAGAAGGGCAACCAAACTGATAAGAGGCATGGAGGAGATCAGCTATCAGGAAAGATTAGAGGAATTGAATGTATTCTCTCTTGAGAAGAGGAGATTAAAAGGGGGATATGATCAACGTGTATAAATACATATGATATGAATACATAGATTTTTAAAAGGCCTGGCTTCTATCCTAAAATGTACACAATAGAACTGGATACTAATATTTATAGGTAAAGTAGATCCAGGGAATATCTTGTTGCCTCTTGGGGGGGATAAAGAAGGAATTTTTTCCCCTTATGGAGCATATTGGATCAAGCTTTTTCTGAGGTTTTTTGTCTTCCTCTGGATCAATTGTGGGTATAGGATTGTGTAGAATTTTTTTTCCATTTTATTGGTTGAACTAGACGGACTTGTGTCTTTTTTTCAATCAGACTATGCAACTTGTAAAAAAAAAATGCTATAGAGTGACGTTGCTTTCAAAATAACGCAATAAACAGATTTACAATTAACAACCTAAAAATTACTGTAATAGGGGGGAATTAGCTCAGTGGTAGATACAATTTCCGTACAGTAAGTGCCTGTCACACAGGCATTGTAGTTAAGGGCCTGGTAACCCACTTTATTAAAAGGTAAAAAAACAAAAGTCCATCCAGGATTCTCATGCAAGGTTTCAACTGCATTCAGCAATCATAAATGAAAAACACCAAGCCACCTGGCTCTCTACTTAGCAGTACCTCTGCTTGTTTTGGTCTTCCAGACCACTTGCTATTCAGGCTCTCTCTCTGACATAGGTGACGGAACCTTGCTGTTCAGGCCCACAAGGCCTCTTGACAGGGTTTTCCCAACATTTCCAGCTGGTACCTACCAGAGACTTCCGGATTCTCTCCAGCCCCCTGGACTCACTGGCTCCAAAGCTTTCCCTGGCCGAGAGCCTTGCACTGTCACATTACATACAGTTAGGTCCATATATATTTGGACAGAGGCACAATTTTCATACTTTTGGCTCTGTATGCCACCAGAATAAATTAAAACGAAACAATCCAAATGATTTTGAAGTGCAGACTTTCAGCTTTAATTCAGGGGTTGAACATAAATATCAAGTAAAAATTTTAGGAACTGCAACCATTTTCAGGGGCTCAAATGTAATTGGACAAATGAATATAATTAGAAATAAAATGTTCATTTTTAATAGATTGTGAAGAATCCTTTACTGGCAATGACTGCCTGAAGTCTGGAACCCATGGACATTACCAAAGACTGGGTTTCCTCCGTTCTGATGCTTTGCCAGGCTCTAACTGCAGCTGTCTTCAATTTGTTTTTCATTTGTGGGTCTTTCTACCTTTAGTTTTGCCTTCAGCAAGTGAAATGCATGCTCAATTGAGTTGAGATCAGGTGACTGACTCGGCCATTGCAGAATATTCCACTTTTCCTTCAAAAGCTCCTGGGTTGCATTTGCAGTGTGTTTTGGATCATTGTCAATCTGTACTGTGAAGTGCCATCCATTCAACTTTGCTGCATTTGGCTGAATGTGGGCTGACAATATATCTCTAAACACTGCAGAATTCATTTGGCTGCTTCTGTCACACCATCAATAAACACTAATGACCCAGTGCCATTGGAAGCCATGCATGCCCATGCCATCACACTGCCTCCACCATGTTTTACAGATGACATTGTGTGCTTTGGATCATGAGCTGCTCCAAGCCTTCTCCACACTTTTTTTCTTCCCGTCATTCTGGTACAGATTAATCTTAGTTTCATTCGTTAAAAAAATGCTTTTCCAGAACTGGTCTGGCTTTTTTTTTTTAGATTTTTTTTGGCAGAGTCTAATCTGGATTTTCTATTCTTCAGGCTTATGAATGGTTTGCACCTTTTGGTGAACCCTCTGTATTTGCTCTTGTGAAGTCTTCTCTTGATTGTGGTCTTTGACAATGATATGTCCACCTTCTGGACAGTGTCGAACACTTGTCTGGATGTTGTGAATGGGTTTTTTTTTACCATAGAGAGGATCCTGTGATCATCCACCACTGTTGTCTTCCGTGGACATCCATGCCTTTTTATGTTGCTGAGCTCACTAGTGCATTCTTTCCTCAGAATGTACCTGCCACTCCCAATGTCGCTGCTATCTCTCTGATGGATTTGTTTAGTTTTTGAAGCCTTACAATGGCCTGTTGCACTTGCATGGACAGTTCCTTTGAACACATGATATAGGTTCACAGCAATAGATTCCAAATGCAAATATCACACTTAGAATCAACTCCAGACCTTTTACCTGCTTAATTGATGAAGAAATAATGAAGGAGTAGCCCACACCTGGCCATGAAAAAGCTTTTGATTCAATTGTCCAATTACTTTTGGTCCCTTGAAAAAAAAAAAAGGGGGGGGGCTACTCTTAAGAGCTGTAATTTCTAAACCCTTTCTCCAATTTGGATGTACATACCCTCAAATGAAACCTGAGTGTGTGCACGTTCAGCCCATATCCATTATATAACTATAGCTTGAATATGTTTTGGTAAATACCTGAAAAAAACTAAAATTGTGCCTGTATCCAAATATTTATGGCCCTAAGTGTAAACAGAAAAAAAAAAAGTTAAATCAAAATTGTGATTTGCACAGAAATACGGGGCGGTTCCTGTGCGAATCACATGCGATATGCCACATCGCAGAAGTGTGAACCCAGGCTAAAACAGCATAAATTTTAGGACGACACCGTCAGTCAGTTTTTAAAGAAACTCAGCAGGAAGGCTGTTCTAAACATTTAGGGGAAATTTTTCTGTAGATTTAAGCTGTCTTAGTTGCTTCTGTCTCTTCATATGATCCCAGATCAGGGCTCTGTGGTGGCCATACAATCCCTTCCAAGACTCCTTGTTCTTTATGACTTTGGCTATATATTTTGGTTGATTATCTTGTTGCAGATTGTACTGGAGACCGATTAGTCCCCAACCAGATGGTA